TTTTAATATTTCATATGCTGTAAATTCGAATACATACGTGTTGGTTGTTACGCTTCGCTGAATTCTGGATTTCTAGTCCGTCTGGTTATTGCGATATAGGTCCGAAACCTAATTTTCACTGTAGGCTATTCCACACACTAACTACCCGAAATGAGAATGATTGTTGCCTAACGAAAGCGTGTACTGTGAGCTTGAAAATCTTCTCACCATGTCCCCGCCGTTGTTAGTTGATTCAGCGTTGAAAAACCTGTTTGCCCGAACTTATGTGAGTTGTAACTATTAGATCTCCACAGAGGTGACGATAATCCAGGGAAATAGGTCAAGCCAAAAAACGTTTTGTAATCAACGGATTTGAGGCCGGCAACCATTTTAACAGCAGTTTAGTGACATGCTCAACGAGGGTTGTATCCTTCTTGCAACCTGAGTGGACAACTCGGCCGACATATTCAAGAAATGGTCTGACGTAGACTCCATACAGTGTCTGGAAGTCCATGCCAGTAATACGATTTTAATGGTGCACATAGAAGGACATGTTTGAGGGCAGCCAGACGCCCAAATCTTTCTCGACATCTATCCTCATGGTCCCATTTGGTCCATTCACACCATGCACGACAAAAGCGTTCGCTGAGTCCCCTTCGAATAATATATGAACTCATCTTTGTCGTTCAGAAAGTGCCGATTCAATCGCCACTGCCTTGCAGCGTCTACATCGATTCGGATGGCACTGGTATATGAGCCACAGGGTTTCAAGTCATCCGAAAAAAGCATATATGGAATTAAAAGAAAATCCAGAGGGTCGTTGACGTAGAACACAAACTGAATTTATCCTAAAACACAGTTTCGATGAACCCCATGGAGACGGACGCCAAAGAAGCGTTTGTCGGGCCAAATTGCACCCAGAATATTCTGACTAATAAGAACGCTTTGATACAGAGTACAGTTTATATCTTTGTAGATAAATAGGTGATGACGATTTAATTAACGGCGATTGCCGTAATATATTGTTCAAACAAGGAACGAAATTTAGAAAAGCTTCCTGCTGATTTTTACTTCAAAGAGTTTTCCATGCTTTCAATAGTTCGGGAGCTCCAGCTTGGCGGATATGCATTTTCACTGGTTACACAAAAAGATGCCACGTTTTGTATCAGGAAGGTTTTTCGTGCTTTGCGCGTGCTTCGCTCCAGGTGTGTTTTAACTGTACTTTAAATTTGATGATGGGTCTCGTTACTGCAGCAGACAAACACCTGGAGCTAGTGCGGGTCACGGATTACGACACAACTAGTAAGTCGCTTCTTCGGGCGCTAGTATATCAGCACAGTTCACGCAGTTCACTCTGCAATTGCGAAAAGTCTACTTTGGTGCCCCTGTGTTCTATCTGTTATACATTCACGTGTGCAGCGTCATCCTAAACGAGTAAAAACGTTTTCACAAGACAACTTCGCACTTCTGTTCATCTGGCCGCCGGGGCGATGTGAACTATTCTGCGCACATTAACCCTCCCATGTCTTGTCACACTGGTGTTTATTCCCATATTTGATGTAGGCCACACATGATGCCATATGGGAGCCAGTGGAATTTGGATTCTCATCCTAGTTACCTGCCCGTAGATTCTGTTGAAGTTTAATAAATTGACTGCTGAACAAAATCCTATTCAATTTGTCACAATTAAGGTAAGTCAAACAAAAAGTTGTCAGGCGTTACCGGCCGGCAAACACTTGGCATACATCCACCTACAGTTTATCAGAATTCTCAGAAAGTCGCTTCAAGTAGCCCTGTTTGTAATGAGCCGTTCGGAACATTTCACTGTGCAGTCGCTTCAAGTAGCCCTGTTTGTAATGAACCGTTCGGAACATTTCACTGTGTTGGCCTCAAGCTTCATTCCATGTATTCGGATTTATTTGTGTATTACAAATATGCTACAAACATGCTAGCTTATCGATGAGATCACCTGGGACCGAGGTTTCACATATCTCTGTGGCCTCCTGGCTTCACCTTTGAAGGATTCTCCAAGATACGCGTTAATATCTTGCTTCGCCTGACTAATATACTTCTAGTAACTTAAAGGATGACGTCGGAATCCACTCTTTTCTTAACTGTAGTTCAAAATGTGCCTTGTTCCCGCGAAAATTTTGGAAATTATTTTGCTTTGATTTCCTTAAATTATTGTTTAGCAATCATGTACATTGCAGTGGATTACGGCCAACAAAATAGACACGGTTTTTTCCAATATGAATACTCAAATTCAGAAACTTGTGGGTTGATACACAGGATCGATTGTTCCGCTCAAGCACCCAGCATCTGATACGTTCCTGTTTTTCGTTCCTTCCGTTTCCAGGAACTGTGCGAGAGGAAATAGAGTTTTGCACCTCCTTTTTAGTGCTAGGCATGAGATCGTAAGCATGCAAGAGCACAAGGTTGCATAAAAAGACGTTTAAAATCCTTTGAAAGGAGCGAAAGATGCCTCATGAGGGCCGTTCAACGCAACTGAAAACCGAAATTAGATAAATTTTGTCCAATAATCGTTTTAATTCACACCATGAAGCGTTTCATAGCCCAGTACTTTGAGGCCCGTAATTATTTTCGCAGTAACTAATTAGACATGCTCAAAGATGGCTACGTCCTTCTTGCACCCTAAGTAGACAACTTGGCTGGCATACTCAAGAAATGCTCCGACGTTGGCCCGTAGAGCACATCGGAGTCTACACGAGCCATACTCTTTAAAGTGCTCCGTATTAGCCATAGAATGACTGGTGCCGTTTAAGCCGATTTTGTTTGGTGGAATAAAAGGGCAAAGTAAGAACCAGGTAAATATCCTTCTTGTATTCACCTTCATGACGTCCTCTAGTCCTTTCCAACCATGATGGACTTGTGGACGCGAGCTTTCTATCCAGGCGCGAGGTATCATTCTAATGGCGCTGAGGTACACCTGGGGGACGCTGGTGCTATAAACCCGGGGGTTGCAGCTGTTCGTCCCTTCGTCCGTTGTAGAGATGAACAAGCGTAATTCCGCATGTGTTGTACGTTCCGTCCTCACAAGGCTTGCACCACCCCGAGGATCACTACCGTCGGTGTTGAAAAGGTCTGTGACGGTTGACTAGGAGGCGTGTCCTGGAGTCGCGATCAGTTGCAACGGCGTGCTTTGAAGAGCACAACAATCCACTGCTACCATCGGGTAGGTCATAACATTCTGTCGAACTGTCGCCAATCGAGACACGGTTTTGCACCCCCCCTCCAAATAGGACTGCTGCTGCCCAGTTGTGACACCTCTGGAAAGCTGTCCCCGGACATGCGATTGATCTTAAGGACTGCCTTTTAAATATTAACAGCCCTCTCCACGGCAGCATGGAGAAAAGTATGACAAGCAGACCATGATTTTGCCCGATTCCTCGTTCGTGTAGTCATTGTTCGAGTAATGTTGCGTATTCAAATCTTGTTACGATATCAACAAGGAGCCCTTGTGCCAGTTTCACTGGCGTGCTTTCCTGGAATTTGATCCCCAAATGACCGACATGAAACTCCTCATGTGACTGTTTTGGTCTTAATTACTTCGTCAGAAAGCCGAATCGCCTTCGCTGCTGCCAGAGGAAGCGGGACGGAGAGAATAAGATACGTGTTCAGAGAGCGAAGTTTGCTAACAACTTTCATCCAGACGGCGAGGTTCTTTGTGTTTGTATTTGCCAAATCCCTCGAAAGATGTGCCTTTTCTCTCTCAGACGTTGGAGCTGGGACGTGGGTTTTCATTGACAGCTCTCTTGCCATTTGTATAATGCAGAGCACCCCAAGGTAGTGGCATCTGGCCAGAAACGAAGCCAGAGGATCTTGATAACCGGATTATACGGTCATTTCGCAAACCCTTACACTCGAAATGCCGCCGGGCCTCGTACTCATGACGTTTCTTGCCACGTCCTACATTCGGTGGACATTGATTACTTTCTTATTTTGGTGAACCAGTAGCCGTGGCGGACAGCTGTCTCTGATGGTCTGGCTCATGATTGCCAGCGAGTGGATCAGCCACAGAAACGGAGTCTACATACATTCGGTGGACATCCATTACTTTCACATTTTGGTGAACCGGTAGCCGTAGCGGAGAGCTATCTCTGATGGTCTGGCTCATGATTGCGAGCGAGTGGTTGAGCCGCAGAAATGGAGCGTATCCCGACAAATATTTTTATGCACATGTTATAACAGGGTGGAAAATTCAGCCATATGGCATGTGTCAACTGTATAAATGGTCTGAACTGCAACAGAATTCGTTCGCACACATGCCGGTGCAAAAAGCTCAACCAGTTTCGAACGTACCGCACCTGTATGATTCACATTACTTTCCCATTGCCTTCGGGCATACCATAGTCTGCCTTCCCTCCATACTTGTCTCTTGACTCTTCTCTTATGCCTCAGCGTTCACCTTTATCAGGAAACTGTCCCGAATTTCAACAGAGCACACTGTTAGGCAAAGTTTTGTTATCATTTCGGGTAGTTACCGCCTGTAATAACCTTCCTCCGACGGTTGTCCTCGCCCCATCTAGTAGCGATTTCAAAGCGCTAATAGGTACTTTTATGGGAGTCCTCACGCTGACAATCTTGCTGTCCCGCTCTTATTACCTAAAGATCGGTGTTACACCCTTTTTACCTGGTGCTTACAGGTGAACAACAGCATCTGAACGACACAGAAAACCGACTCGGCAAACTTGAGCAAAAGGTTCAATCATGCGTATCAATCCGTGCTGCGATACCCCAAACTTATTTACCACTATCTCCACTATACCCAGTCATGACATGCGAGTTTCCCCTCTTTTACTTAATTTTCCAGGCACTCGGCCCGAATGTGTGACCAGAATAACAATCCCATCGACCAGATATATGAGACTTCAGATTCCTATTAAGCTGCAGGTCAAATGAATCCAGTCAACCTATTGGAAACCCGTAGAACACAATAAGTTTCCGACAGTCACTGTATCTCGTTAACTTAGTTGTACTGTAAGCAACGCGGTTCTTTCGAAATGTCGGAACCGCTCACATTGCGACGGGGTTTGTGTTTGCTGTTCATATTGACGTGTTGTAGATATCACAAGAGTAATAGAATTATTAGAAATACTTCAAAGATGTCCTGAAATTCAACCTTCCAAACTGGTGGCTCTCCAGAAGATCCTTCAATCGGATTTCTGCAACATGGTTCGGGAAGTCTATGAACATGTGTATGCCACTGTTGATATTAATGGGTCAGAGGAAGTGAGTTAAGTTAGTTTGTGTAATCTATGTTACGTGGAGCGCATGAGTTTCATGGGCATACTTGCGGTCTAACTGTAGACGCAAATGTGTTTTGACAGTAGGCCCTGTGGACAAAAGTAACCGCCCATAAATTGTCTCGGTGTAATGTATATTAGGACTTTCTTTTTGTGATCAATGCACCGAGTGTTAACGACCTCCCTTTCCGAAGAAGCGTCCTCAAGTGTCACATCGCAGCTCAAAGCAAATCTTATATACTTGCGCAACTCAATCGCTTGAACAAGGTTAAATCGGGAATAACCCCATCACACGTGGTGTAACTGGTTCCTTTGGGAAAGACTGGCGACTCAGTCTCAGTGCATCATGTTGGCATCATCACCCTCACCTCAGACGAAACATCGCCGCGTGTTTCGACAACGTACGTTCTGAAACCATGTGCTTGTTGTCATAAAACAGCCGCGCCGCTAATGCATTGCCTCCAAAACCCTACTACATCCACTTTATGTGTCATGGAAGTAGTGGTTGTCACGCGAGTCTATGCTTATGGTGAGTGTGCTGATCTAGCCTACTAGCAGCCTACCACATCCCGATCATTTGACTTCACATGAATACATGTGGGTGAATGTGAATACCCCTGGAGTGTTTTAATACACTTTCGCTGAAACAGCATGGATTCAGACGCAAGGTACTTCCAAACGAACCTCTTATTCACTAAAAACATCTTAGCCGAGTACCTAGGCGTTCCGATTTAGGTGAACTTCATTCTCCTCGACTTCTCCGAACTTTCAGTGGGGTACAACATTAAATCCTGCTTGGAAAACGGGTTACTACAAGGTCCAGGCCTTATCGTGATGGACAACAACAAAGTCGTTCAGCTGTAACACCCTTTCTGTGCTCTAGCTACCATGCCATCTAGAGGAAGCACGAGGGCTGGGATACTGCCAGGTCGCCCAAGCCTAAACAGGGGAAGCTGTAGCGGACTAGGACCTTATCAGCGTGTTCGGATAAATTAACAAGCAAAGTAGCCAATACAAAATCACAAAATCACAATAGGAAAGGAATGAGTAGTCAAATGGGGACTCACGAATGTGTAGATCCAATAGTCCACTACATCGATCCAAGTGGAGTAACTGGCTGTGAAAGGAAATATTCCCTTGTCGGAATTCTCCACAGATGGTTCCGCGTGCGTGATATATTTCACGGTAGGAAAATTATTCACGGCTAAAAAATGTCACAAGGATTTATTGTGACGCTCAACAGTTGACATAAACACAGAGATTTGGTCCCACTCGTTCAGCAGTCAACAAACAGTTCTACGGAGCGTAAATACGCTCGTTCAGCAAGAAGTCAGTAGTTCGCACCGGAAAATTGTGTATTCGTAACATTAAAACAAACGTCGTGATACAATGTGAACGACAGTTACAAAGTGTGGTTCAAGCTCAGGAAGGATGGGAAATGTGACAACGGATTACAGACACTACAAAGTCGAGAGGCAGAGGTCGGGTTCGTACCACAGACCTTCCGGTCAGTAACTTCGTCTCTAACCACTTGGTTTATTTCGCCCCGTGGACAACAAACTATATAGGTCTTGGCGATATCACTCAGAACTAGGGGAGCGGTACCATACACCGAACTCCATATTGTGCAGTTTACAATGTTCGGTATTGGAGGTTACATTCTAAAAGTCCACCTCTTAAGCCCGAGTTTGTGCCTCAAGTTCGGTCGAGTGGGATGAAAAGCCTTAATACAGAGCCTTAACATATAGTCTATCCTTCTTACCATGCCTATTTGTCGCCTTGTTCCTATTCAGAAGTTGATTTTTTAGAGTTTGCGCATGCATATGGAGCTTTAGTGGTCAGTCTACCGGTAAAAGTTCTAAATGTTCAGTGTTTTTATCAAAAGGTAAAAGTTTGAAAATAACGTGAGTGAATGTAGGATTGGGATTATTCAAACGCAGACGTTGAATAAAAAGTTAAACCAACAACATATAAAAGCTTAAAAATCCTTGCTTGAATCGCTCATATGTTTAAGCTCGCACAGTCACATGAGTTTGGCACTTTTACGGTTTTCCTTTTGGCTCGAAACCGTACGCATCACGGACAGCAGAATGTTCGAACATTGCCTGGTGGTTATTACTATACCATCAGAAACGTCAACTAAAGTAATTCATCGTGCATTGGCATATTATTCCCCAATCAGTGACTTTCTCGTGTCCAGAAGTGTAGCCGCTACTTTTGTGGTTCCTATGTGACAGTATGAAATCCGAGGAGTGTAGGCAAGCTATCCGGTGAAGCTAAGTGGCAACGATTGTTATCATAACCATGGATGTGGGAGCACTCACTCGGACAATCTAACGCTCTTCGTTTTTTTTTCAGGTAAAAGCCAGCGCAACCGCTAAGGCAACTGTTGCCGCATTCGCTGCCAGTGAAGGACACGCCCATCCCCGTGTGGTGGAGCTACCGAAAACTGATGAGGGTCTGGGATTCAACGTCATGGGCGGAAAGGAGCAGAATTCACCCATCTATATCAGTCGCATCATTCCAGGTGGTGTGGCCGACCGACATGGTGGGTTGAAACGCGGAGACCAACTTCTTTCCGTTAATGGAGTTTCGGTAGAAAGTGAGCATCACGAACGGGCGGTTGAGTTACTCAAGTTAGCACAAGGTGAGCAGCACCGTGGCACAGTGCACCACTTTTGATTTACAACTATCATTTGGAACGAGTGTTTTCCATTCTGGTTATCTATGCTGGTACCGCTTTTGGTTCAGGACTTCGTTAATTCAGTATAGTTTTTCCAAAATAACATTAGACTACCTGCTTATGTTTCAGTATGCGTCTCTTGAACCACTCTTTATGACCGGATGTTGCTCATTGGGCACGACAATCACCTATAGTTAAGTTAGGGGCGAGATGGCTCAGTGGTTACGGCGCGAATTTACTGGCCGGAAGTTCCGTGGTTTGAATTCGATCTCTGACTCTTGACTTCCCCTATATGGGCTTGGGCACCCAAAGGGTATTGCAGCTGAACGATTATTTTTCATACTGGGGTTAAAGTCATGCGTGTTCAACATTATCTTTATTCTTATCTTAATCTTCGATCACAATGTGGCCCTTTGCACATATTTATCCGTTTTATGGCGCAACAGGAACGCCTACGCTTCTGATGATTGTGTCAGTGATAATTACCATTTAGGATTAGCCTAATAATAGGACTTTGACACTGCTTAGGTAATCAGGCGTTATCACTTGACTAGTTATTTTTTCTATTTATTCTCGTTGCAAGTGTAAAATTTTCGTTATTTTCCATTGGGACGAGTTGACATCGCTCACATCAGTATTGAGCCTATCGGATTTGATATATCATGCAGGTTTTGCGCAGACTTTGCCCCAATTTCTCTGTCATTTAATCGAAAGTTTCGGAGCCGTTATACGTGTCTGGGCGCATGATTCTCTATGTTAAAACCAATTTAAAAAGTCTATTTTATAATTAGAAGCATTCTGGTGATCTGAGTCGGGAAGAGGTTGGCTTACGTTGCTCCTTAGTGTGGAGCGTATTACTTCTATATGCAGTCGGAGCATCTTTGGGATGTGGACGGCCATCACACGCGACCCTATCTGCTCCCTGTTAGTACTACAGCTACCAGTGAGTGAGGACCGGCATACCATGCAATGTACGTGCATGAAATCAGTGACATCCAGATGATGAGATCTACGTTTCTCTTCCGGTTGCCCAGCTGTCTTTAGCCGAAGTGACGAATTCCCCTTTGAGGACATTCTTCATTCTTGAGGGAAGCATTATGGTCATAATTTTACAATTTCTAGCGAATGAGCCAGCTCCGGGTGGCTCGCTGGTTAGGGCGCGAGCTCTTTTCGCACAACCACAAGAAGGGTGAGATTAAGCAATGATTTATCAGTGAAGTATGGAAGCCAATACCAGCAAACTCAACTGCGTTGGCCATTGCCATCTCAATGGATAGGGCCCTCAAAATGGGACATATAAATGATTAGAGACATTATCAGGTATGGCACATTCGACTCTTCAACGGCGCTGATGCATCCAAGCTATTTCCTTCAATCGATAGCTTCCATCCCCACCTCTCCGGTCAAAAGTTTACTAACAGCCATCTAGTTACGCATCAATGATATCAGCTACCGCCTCCAATGTGCAGCTACCTACCCTATTTCCCTATACCTGAAAGAAACTGTGGCAGCTAGAACCACCGTGCGACAAGTACGCGGTTCTGACAGCTGATGATGATGAAGGCACGAAATTACTGGAAGGTCCGTGGTTCGTACCCAGCCGCATTATCCTAACTGCTTCTGTTTAGGTTTTGGCAACCTGACAGTCTCTCAACTCTCATGCTTCCTTCCAGTTGGATGCAGCTAGGCACGGAAAGGATATCACAGCTGAACAAATATTTTAATTGCACGTTGGTTCCGCCAGACGCCCATTATTTTTTGTCTCATCTGATGGCTGTAGCAATGTTTGCATGCTTACGTTCTCATGAAGAAGGCAGCCTGGTACAACAGCTATCCCACATTCTACGCAGCACTGGCCTTTTGCCGCTAAGGCATGTTGTTTCATATATCTAACAACTTTTGAAAATTACTCGGAGCAGTCAGGACCATATGGAGATCAGGGATTTTTGACATCTTTATTTCTGGGACGACGCGTGTAGATATTATTAGAGCGAGAACAAGCAGCCAGTTTCAAGATGCTCGTGTGGGGTTTTAACCGGAGTCGCCGAAATGGTAAGTCACAGCCTTATCTACTCGGTCACAAGGACTGGTTTGGTTTACCTGCAGTTTAACCTTTGTTCCATTGGTTGAGTCTGTCCGAAGTTCAACCCGATTGTTATTCATTCCAGGAACTGTCAAATTGGTTGTTCGGTACACACCGCGAATTTTGGAGGAAATGGAGGCGCGGTTCGACAAGCAAAAGGCTCGCCGACGCCAGCTGAATTAGTCTCGCTACTCACCTGATCTTTTATCTTTTCTCAATTTGTTCAGCTTGCTACCCTACTCGAATTGCTTTCTCGTTCTCCAAACTTTCTACTCAACGCCACAGTCTTCAGGTTGATTTCAAACATGGAATGACTGCTTCCTTTGAATGATACTGATGTGTCGGTGGTGCTTTTTATTCCGTCGTCACATATTTGTCAATTGCGTTCTACGCCACTGTAGTACAGGCATGTGATATTGTTTCTCGAATTACTCATTCACGTCAACTCCCCGTCATTCCTAATTTTGCTACTGTATTGCACCTTCCTCATCTTGATCATATAACCATATGATTATGTCTTTCTCCACAGACAGGGCTGAATCTTGCTCAGCACTTCGCAGGGTTATCGAAAAGCAACTTTCCCGTTTTCGGGTCGTTTACGTGAATCTGCACGCTGTGTACCTACTACAGTTAACAGTGAATTTCACTAAGTTGGGCATGCGAGTTAGAGTGAGTAATGTCGTAGTAGGCTGCATTATTTTTCCGTTACATCTATATAGTTCTTCTGGAATACTGTGACTCGTTTCCCAGAAAACAATAACACTGCGTATCATGCTGTTCAACTACTTTTAATCATCCAACACAGTGGCTGTCAGTTAGATGGAGTTTCATGATTCCATAGCTATTAGTTGGCTCGAACTTCTCAATATTTGGAGACCCGTATTCGCCTTGAGCTTTGAATGCGCGGTATTTTGTTCACTCGTTGCTGATCATTCATCACAAGACTGCAATTTCATTGGACACAAATCCTCCGTGGTGAAAGTCCATGTTTATATCCGGAAACCTCCGCTACACTATCATTCCCAGTAGACTATAGATCGGAAGNGTGGGCCTTCCGACTCAACAGTAAAAAAATAACAGTAGTTGGTCATGTACCGGAAAGGTTTACGAGGCAATACGGTTTGGAAACCACGGTCTGGAGCGTCCAAAACACTGATAACCCATATTCGCAAAACCTGGTTGCTTGTGGCTTGATGGTGGGGAAATGTCTGTAACCAATGAAGGCGGTTAAAAGTGGGGCTGCGACTAGTCAAGTCGTCCCCTAAGTTGCACGATAATTGTGCATTGGTTGGTTCTAGCCGCACTACAGGAACGCCATTGATCGGTGAACGAAACTACGGCATATGTACCCACTGTACGATAAGTACGCGTTTCTCATAACGTCGCCGGGCGAACCAGCCATATGATCCAGGTTTGAACAGTATTACCAAGGGACTGGACCTCATCGTTTGGCAACGGTTCGCTTGCTTAAGTAACCCACTGAGCAGTAGCGTGCGGCGTCCACAAAGTCTTTCCTACCAGGCTGGTCAATGGATAGAGGTCTGACGAACAACTTCTCTTGGTCCTCCATGTTGGGGTTTGGAACAAGTGTGGCAGTCTGTTCATTACGAGTTTGACTGCTCGAATAGTCTCAAGCCAGCTGCAGCCGCTTTGTGGTCAGGCTTTGGTTGAGGACCCTAAACGTCCTCCTGTCTATGCTTGGGCGTGCTGACGTGCTCACATACAACCAGGAACACTACGGGCGAGATTGCTTCCCACCACATCGCCTGCGTGGTTACACCAACTTGGTCGCGTCATTTGCTGCACATAGCAGGGCGGATAGATGAAAACATGCAACTGCTGACGCCTCCTGACACTGTTATGCAGATCCAAGCTGTAGGCACCAATGGAACGGCTCGTCCCCGCACTTCAGACTTCTTTCTCCTGTTTTCAGTGCATCCTTTATCGTGAGAAAACTTGGGCAGATCGTTCAATAAACTGCTCTTGTACTTACCCTGGATAGTCTGTCGGTTGGTGTCTGTTGCCTCTCTGAGGCTCGGATGGAGCATCCAAGTACGGGTGTTGAGCTCATGACGCCCTCTAGCTAGAAGCTACACACTACGAACTTCGGCTGGCTCTGAAGCTGGATCAGGGGATTGCTTTTGTTTTGGTATAGCCTTCTAGTTCACCGGCCGAGGCTTCGTCACTCGACCTGTAAACAGCCGACTCTGTGCTGTCCGACTTATTACTTCGATAAAAAATTTCGAACTAGTTGAAATACTCAACGCTGTTTGTTTGTCGTGCCCATGTATAAATGTTCAATGGACTGTAGCGCCGACTCATCGAAAGACACCCATCGCAAACTGACCCTCTTATCAACGACGACGGCCTCGGACAAAGCCATATTATCAGGGGCTTTCAATGCCAAATTAAGATGCCTCATTTTATCAGGATCACGCTGTAGACATGTATCTGCACGCAGTGATATTGGCGGATGTCATTGCAACTTTTTAATGACCACTAGTCATTTCTCAGTGGTACTGAGTGTAGACGGCATCGTTTTGCTACATGGACCTCTCTACTGCTGAGCAGCCTGGAAGTCGAATTGGCCTCATCGACGTCAGCTATCGTTGTGGTGGTTCAATTATGGACTGCCTGTCGCTCCGGAATACACACCGGTCTATGTCACACTCATTTGGTGTAGATTTTCATTGAACTTTTTGAGAAACGATCCCCATTTGGCAATGGAGAAGCCTTGTGAGCCACCGGTTACGAAAACACCGAAACCCACTATTAAAGGTGGCCTCCTGAGGGAACATTGACCTTAGCCGGGCTCAGATAACCATGGATATACGTAACGCCGAGAACTCTTTTCCTGCTTTTTTTGATTGCGTACACGGAAGCAACTGGATGTCATAACGGTCACTATCACTTCTTGATGCAAGGCGCTCTATTACTTCTGGTTCTGATTACAATTCGGCTAGATCACCGATTAGGCAACATCTCAAACTTAGATTGTTTGTGGGTTGGGAGGCATGGTGAACCAGAAAGTTCGAGAAGTGGAAGAGGCCAGCGCGACTGGAAGTGGATGAAAGCCATCCTAGCTAATACGCAAAACAGGATCCCAAGAGCATTCTGTGAGTTTATTAGAGATAATATTGGAAATCTAATTTATACTAAAGTGCAAAGTCTAGGTCTCTGTGCGGGATATTTTAACCAGCAGTTTAGTTGGCTCTCTGACCCTTTGTCTATGTGTTTCATCTGACGCGTCCATTCTGGGCCTTGACCTGGTAGTTGAGTCTCCCTCAGCTGATGAAATACCAGGCCTCTTTGAAGCCCTATGATCTGCCATACAAAACGAGCTTCCAATGGTGACGTTACAGGATGGAGGAGAATCTGTGTCCCACTTTGTTGATGTTCGTGTGTATTTATGGACAAGAATGTGTTCCAGGGAATCAGGCCCAATCGTTGGTCATGTCCGAATCTAAACAAGGTAACCAAACTGGTTGTTCTTACCATAGGGTATAAGTCTCATAACTTTTGTAACGTGGCTATTGGCTTCCATTATATTGCGATGCCTATCTTCGGCACGTGAGACGCAATTCCGGGAGCACCGAGCAGGATTTCAACTTGCCAGGGTGTGCACTAATAATATATTTGAAACAGTCAAACGCTTCAACAGCGCTACTTACACCGCAATGACAGTTCTCTTCGATTTCAAAGAAGCCTCGATTCCGTGGTTAGATTGGCTGTCCAAAATATTCTTGGCCGAAAGAAATGCCCCTGAAGTTGGTAAACATTCTATGTGTCCTTTATTCCCACACATCTGGTCGGATTAGAGTGTACAGTGAACCGTCGGGAAGTCTCCTGATAACCAGTAGAGTCTGCTCTATCCTTTCGATTCAGTTTTGTCATCGACGGTACAATGGGGTGGACAATTCAAGGGGCCATGAACACGGGAGTCGAAATCACGCCTGGGGAGAAAATAAGGACCTGAACCCTGTGGACGACGTCGTTTTTTGTTTGCAAATTATTTGTCCGCGTGAATTGCATGAATCAGAATGTCCCAGGTGATCCCCTCTTTCAGCATGCGCTTTGAATCCTCGGAATACTAGATCTTACTTCAAGATTTCCCATCCCCATGCGTTTTTCTGAAGCCAAATAATAAATAGCTTGACTGAGTTGATCGGTTCACGCGTCTCAGCAGCTTCATGGGCTGTGATTGTACCGTAACAGATGAAGTTAATGCGCGGATCCGGGGGTGGTCGTAATGATTCCCGCTCGCTTGTTGAGTGAGGGCTAGTTGGTATCTGGTATAAAAGGTGAAGTTACTGCATGACCAATCATAAACGAATTTTCCCGAAGTTAAAGGGGCGTGTATACAAGAACAGTGTAAGAACGATCTTACTCCATGGTTGTTCCACTTCGCTCCACCCATCCAAACGACTTAGGCGATTTCGAGTGTTTGAGCGTCAGTGTCCCCTTAACGTGACAAGTTATCCGGCTGCAACGAACTGGTTCAGAGGCGAGCGCTTTGCTACGAATCCGATTCTTTAGAGGAGCACACCAAACTTACAAGTTTGAAGTAGTCGGGACATGTGTTATGCTCAGTCACCGCCTACCGGAGAAAGCCTTGTTTTCTGTTCTCAGGAGATTTGTGGGAATCAGGCCTTGAGGTGGCGACGTGGAATGAAAGCTGTTACTGTCAAACTGAGTGCTGTGAGGCTTCCATGGCTGGATCCTTCTCGTAAGTAGCTGGAAATCCTGTAGGACATGGCGCGCATGCTAGCCGGCCGCCTAGTTCCCTGTCGTTTTGCTCTAGGCTTCTGTCCGGAGAAGTTCGCAAAGGATGTCGGATCGCTCCCGCTGATGGCATCTTTGACATGTTTATTAGATGCGTTTAGTTTAGTAATCTGATCATTTCCCTCAAGAATATAAAGATTATTCGCACTTAGCCTTACCATCTCATTATCACTCTACTGAGGCTTTCTTCCCTTATGGTTGTATGGCTATTAAGCGCATTGCTGTCAATAATGATGATGACCTATTCAAACGTGATAATTCGTGTGCGGATGTGCTGAAACGATCGCCTCATATGTCAGACGTCCTGGCTTTAAATACCAGCGGAACTAAGGATATACATTTCTGACCAGGGCGAAACGCAATCAGTGCTCTACTTCTTTCGTATGGACTAACCAGAAAGGCTGCGTCTGGATAAGAGTTGGACTGTGAAAATGCAAAAGGTATTTGGACGGTATATATATATATATATATATATATATTATGTCGACTTCAAAGGACAGCATTACTTTGTCGTTTGCTGGTCTCTACCAGCTCCATCTCAGACGCGGGCAGATATATAGAGGACAAAAATTCCTCCTACAGGGTCTCAGTTCTGCTGAGTGTTCTGTTTTCTCAAATTTTGCTGGTTGCTTATCTTCCTCACGCTTTCAGCGACAAAAGTCGAGCCCATATGTAATCCATATTCCCACACTGATACCGATTTTTCCCGGTGTGTGATTCTTCCCCAGTTTGCTTTTAAGCCTTGCACAGCTGCTCTAGGGGCTTTCTTGGCTATGCTGGCATTGTTGTCCCGCTAGTTCTTTCCACTCCGATTGGACATTCATACATGATTTACTGTTTCCCGGGAATAATTCCACTGCTGTTTTTTCACAACCAATGTCTATTGGCCAACAGTTGGCCCAAAACGTTCTGTACTTCCTTCAACTTCGGTTGACATCAAATCATAGAAATGTGCGTCAGCATCACTTGAGATACAGCATATAGGCTAAAGTGGTTTTCAGCGTGACTCGGGGTCATATCAAAAGTATCCGTGTCAAAGTAAGATAACCCAACGGATTTACAGTTGCAGTGCGTGCAACCCTGAGCGTTACCTGTGCGCGTTTGCCGAGTCAATCTGACAAACGGTTTGTTAAAAAAGCTGGATCGGACATGGGCGATCAAATCACCGGGACTTGAGGCAACTCCGCTGCACACAACTCAACATGGACTGGTCGGTTTCCGTCGCACTTTACTATACCCATTTAGAGGCATGAACAGACCATTGTTCATACAGACCCCAAGAAATCCAGCAGACACTTCGCAGTGCATTGTAATTATTATGACTACGTGTCAATCACGTTTCGCGGCTAAGAAGCTCATTCCTTGTTACTTTCTTGTATTTAATCCAAACGGTAGGATTACGTGAACACATTTGGGGAAGTCGCCTCGGCTGTAATGGTCGATCTAGCAGTCAGTCCAAAAGTTTTCTATTTTTAATTTCGTCGCCAAAAATTTGGAACATGCGATAATTATCCTGGGTATTTACGTATGATCCACCCTAGTGGACTCAGGAACCACGATACCTGGGATGCTCACATCATAAAGCCTGGTGGTTTTAACAACCTATCTGGACGGTCTTACATTGGGAGAAACCTAGATACACACCAGAGCGCAAGGTTGCCTTCGTACTGTTTAGGTGGCACCTCAAAACCTGACTGCCAATGCTTCATGCCTGGTGTGAGCATAAAAATTCACCTTCCCGCGGAAGATGGTAAACTGGACATGACAGCAGTGAGGATTAGCCCTCTAATGGAGGCGGACAAGATTTGTTAATAAGTTATAGGCCAAGTATTAGCTCTTGATTACGTTTTGTCTGTCATCCAATCACGAGTGAAGGCCCTCGGCAGAACCAATGCCCTACTTGTTCACACCTAAGAGCCCATAGCGCACATCGGGATAGAAGCACCAGTATCCTCAGTTGTAGAATGACACACGCAACACAGCCCCGTCCATTCCAAACCAAACACAAATAGACGAGCGGAACATGTCAAAATTCATCCTTAGTCATCCAACGACCCAATTGAAATATGCAACCGTTCGCCGTACTAGGAGTGCTCACTAAGCATGTCAAACTGTTGACGTGCAGCCATTGTACTTGGTGTCCAAATGAGCGGAGCGGACATTCATGTTTGACGGCACGCGGGTCATGAGAAAATCCTATGTAACTGCGCTCTTGTCTAAGAGGGAAACTTTGCGGTCATGTCTGGGCCACAGATAAGCGCTGGGCAAAAACGAAGACCTACAGTTCACTTGTTGCCGCCTCTACGCACGCTACTAGGCAGCTTCAATTATATTCCTCTTACACTGGATTGTTGCACAACCCTAAACAAAAAATGAGCTTGTTCGAAGATACCCGTCCCAGACCCATGCTCCTGGCGAGATAGAACAAACCACATGTGCGAGTCCGGACCGGACACAAATGCAGTTCATTTATTAGCACATTCCTTGAACTCCCCCCAAATGGGATCCGGGACTTCTTTCGCGGAGAGATCTCGCTCGTTTCCATGTCTAGACGTTCAAATATATTTCCGCCTGGCCCCCAACATCACCGACGACGATAGCTCGCCCACTCCAATCGATATCCATCGTCAGTAAGATGAATGTACCCAAAGATGGGTCCCTACATAAATTTGGCAGCAGGGCTTTCCAATCCAATAGATTTTTGTTGCATGGAAATACAGCAGAACTGAGGCACGGGATATTTCGACTGCCCTCATGGACCACGCTAAGGTAATATTAGGAGCCTACGGAATACCTTGAAGCGCCCTCATTGATTTCCACCTTGCAGTGCGAATCCTCCTTGTAAACATAAGTCTAACTACCAAGAGACCGCATGCTCGAATTTTCCGTCGTTTTTCGCTATTGGGAAACTGTACAGCGGCGACTAACCTCAAATCAGGTTTCGAAGACCAAGTTGCGACACATTTCGCAAACGCTGAAAGGTGACAGATCGTCTCCAAGCATCGCCACGAAAGCATCCCAGCAATCTAGGAAGTGTTGATTAAGTACCATTCAAGGCTCACGACAAGTATAGTGTAAGCATCAATAAGTATTGGACTGTGCATTTATCAAGGATGAATGACGAACACAAGAAGCGGTGTTTTTCTTGACCGAATATTGTTTGTAAGTCGAATTAAGAACTATTAGCGAAGCACACTGGACGACGGCTCGACATCGAAGACAGCAGTTGACTGCTGCTCAATAGCTATTTGCGGGCACAAAATAGAAGACCGTTCATCAGCAGCCCAGATCCATATCGCGCGACTCAGCGTTTACTGATTCTTTGGCGGTTTCGTCAGTCCTGAGTACTGACGACAAACACACCATCCACACATCTACTCACGAATGAGGTGGACAAGTCACTCTTACATTTACGCCAGCCCGCAACCCGAAGAAAATACAAAACAAGTTGCTGTTCAAAGGCCGTCGTGATGAAACAAATTGATGTTCAAATCACAGACATATGCAAAACACCAAACAACCCCAGATATGTCCGACAGCTATTCACAAGTGCAAGCAAATGTGGATGAAAGCAGTGGGCCATCGGGCCAAAAATGACCAAAATTCCACTAGAAAAAAAGAAAATAGGTAACATTGCATTTTCGGCTGAGGATGCAACTGATGTGCATCCTCTTGCATTGGAGTCGCAGTTTAAGAAAAAAACAAAAACTAACACGAAGAGCACCAAACGTCGTAGGGTTGAAGAAGCTGTGACTGATTGCGTTGAGTAAACCGACCAGCGAATTGTAAGGCACGGAAAATCTGGAGTACGGTTTAAGCACCAAGATCCACCCGGAAATCGCCATAGCGCCAAACGTTTTTCCGTTCCTTCTTCGCTTTTGCCTGAGCTTCCAAATAACCAGACAGAGTAGCGCGGGATACTTGTTTAAGTAAATCCGGGCGCATGGGTTCAACACAAACCAAGCCTTCCTCCAACAGACGCTGAGCCACATCAATCCAAGCAGAGGCAGACACCGAAGACCCCCCAGCCGCTGCTGTATTAGGTATCTTCAAAGCAACGCCCGGAACCGGTTTCATAGTTTCGTTTGCACATGGAACGGCGCCAAACTGATCAGCGAGCAGCACCTTTAAGACGAAGGTAGCGGAAAATGATGCGAAATCAAAAGAACAAGGAGAAAGCGCAGCAACGAAAAGAGACTTCATGCTCATGTGGGTCTGACAATCCCCGCCCTTCCCAAAACCACCAGAGGTTACTCGCCGTCCTGCATTCGCGTGCGCCTGCTGACTAACACTGGGCCAAGGGAAACACTCAGTATGAGAAGATAGTGATATACTGTTGAGCACCTAGTTCACACAATAAGGCTGTTATTAAGAGCCAAAACGAGCAGTATGTACGAACGGGTGGATTCCGAACTTGAGTGTCGGGGTGGCAACAACAAAAAAGACATAAGAGAATCCGACGGATAGGATACACCTGTTATACAGATGCAGGGAAACAAGCTGCAGGTATGGATACCACCACCTCAAGACGGGAGCTGCAGAACGAGACGATGTCTCAAAGTTGAGTTGCTAAATGAGGATAATCCCGGTTCCAATAGTTTACACGTTCCGGGGTGATTTGTAGGCTTTAGCCGTCAGTGACCGAAAGACTGTGGAAATGAATTATCGGTGGAAACGTTGACAAGTACAGGACAAGTAACCTGATCCTTTCAGGACGACCTATATGACCGTAGCACGATCGTTGTCATGAACAGCCCCAAACCGTCATAGAACCAGTTAAACTACTGAATGGGTGGATAATTCTACCAGTCAGCTACTCGTGTGCGGATACCGAATTTCACCACATCACATGACCACCGGACACCAAACCAAAACCGCTTGAGGCAGTTAATTCACGTAAGTAGAAGCGGTAGGGATTCAGAGAAACCAACAAACGGTAGAGAGAAGATACACTGTTTCCTCTCAAGCCATCACAGGTAGTATGCCGTCTCAAATATGCCCAAAGACGTGGATGAAGCCCGACTGAAGGATGCAGAACGACCCATTTTGTGAGGTTTTGTGGGTAGATACCCGAACTGGCAATAGCAATCAGTGTATTAACACTGTATGACAGAATGAAGTGCGAAGCCAAAAAATAAATCCACGCAGTCTCACACAGCCTTATGATTACGCAATTTTCTGAGCGACCTATTCTATCTGCATTCGTCTGTCACACTAATTTACACGTGCCCTGTAGATATTGTTAGCAATGTGGTTTGGTTCTCAGCAGTACACAGTTTGGACACTATCTTAATTTACACGAGAACCAGGAAATCATGGTGAGAGCACACTGAAATAGGGCATATCACTGTATAAAAGATAAATTCCATCGCAGACAACCCCAAACAAGTTGAAACGAATACTCACTTTCGAAGTAACTGACCATCACAACCACCACTTCAAAATCATTCGATTGTCCGCAGATTCGCTCAGAGATGAGAGGCGAGAGCAGCAAACCGAAACGATTTGGGGACATGACAATAGAACAACAAACTACTTCTGGGTAGTCAAAAGAATCCAGACCCTTTAAAAACGGCAGGTAAGCTAATCAAGAAAAGCCAATGGGAGAAGCGTTCAACAGTATATGATGCGGCCCATGGGAAGAACTACAAATGCGAGAGCCGGAAGATTTTGCCTACCTCTTTGTTTTCCACATGCTCAGCGAACGCGCGTTCAGCAAATGCCCGATCCGTGGAGTCCGGAGGAAGTTGAATGAAAGCTAGTCGGTATTCATGGGCTTGAGGTGGGATGTTCACTAGTGGACCGGGAGGAAGTGGGGAAAGACGAAAAGCTGCGTCGGCTAGGTCAACTGTTTCTTCATTACCGAAGTCGATAAACATGACTGTGATTGATTTTGGGCTGCATCGGACAACACGAGCTCTATACCAACAATTATCCACACTGAAGCAAGCGGCGCACAGCTCGCCCTTTTTAGGTTGGTAACCCGGTAGGGGTGGTGGACTTTGTTTTGCGTTTAGACTATGACTTATTTGTACGATTGTGCCGGAATCGGCGGAGTGCTGCGCGAAAAACCGAAGACCTTCACTACCCGCACCTGGATTTGACACACCCGTGATCTGAGCAGGCTTCCATTTAATCTGAAATGGAAATTTAAAAAAACGGAACAAGCGTGTATAAAGTTCAGAAACCTCCTTCGACAGTTAAATCAAAACAGTGAGACACTGATGGGTCGAAGTTGTAGGAGCAAAAAAAAGGAGTTAGTTGAACTGAATATCCATCAAACTGTGGTATTGATGGACGATTTCAACAGCCGTCACAGTCACAATGCGGGGTAGTGAAGTGATCCAACATACCTTGTTCGTTGCATGTTCATCCATTTGGTCGTCTGAATGACCATTAAGACTGAGAGCAGACAAATCGTCCAGGTAGCCAGAAACTCCACTCAAGATGCGGCCATCGTCAGCTCCGTCAGCGTTAGCGGAGTCGGTAAATGAGTTGAGTTCTGCTTCCCACTGTTTTACAAATTCTTCTGAGGACCATAGACCAATTCGTCCAGCCTTGGCGGCATCCTCAGCCCTGACCAAATCGTGATAATAGGGTGACGCCTCGGTTGCCGGAGCATGATGAACTGTAGCCAACCCGCGAGATACCAGTAAAACGCTTAGATTAGCTTTCGTCTTTGAGATGGCTGCTTCTATAGCTTTCTTCTTCTTTTTCCCCGTGGACTTGGGCGCGTCTGTTTCGCTGCTCTCATTTGGTGGAGCGTCAACAAACATCCAACCGACAAAGTTTCCAACTCGATCTATTGTTTCGATGGTAACTTCGACATTGCGTTGCATGCATAGCTCCCTGACAAGATTGTAGCCCTCTATACTGAACGGCATATCCGGTTCGTCGGTGCCGTCCGGTTTCGGTCTATAAAAATATACAAAAGCCAGCTGCTGAGAAAACAAATAAGACGATTAATGATCAGCTACACAAAGCCTGCAATGAGGACCCGTTCTGGACATCTCAAACATACAGTGGAACGGTCAAAAAACTGTCTTATGAACAAGCCGGCCCATCTAAGGCGCACAACAGTGAAACCCGTTGTCCTATAACAGTAATGCTTCAAGTTAGTTCTCGGTCTGATCCACCCCAGCGAGTGTTTTCACCAAAGCCACAAAAGACAGTGTAACAAACGTCCTAAAGCAGGACAAAACACTCATGTACAAAGTGCATGCAACGACATCCTCGAAATCCGGACACCTGGAGGCACCGTTGGCAACCGGCATTCAGTGGACACTGAAACATGACCGACGATTTTCGAAAAAAATTGGTGACAATCGGTAGATTTGTTTTTGGGCAACGTTTCGCTTTTGACACAAGAGCTTCGTCAAGTCAAGTGACTAGGTTCCGAGGTTGGTCGAGATTTAAGGCGGAAGGAGAACCAAGCAGCTAAGTCAAGCTAAATCTATGTTGGGTGTTGGATGAGGGATTTTTGTGTGTTAAGGTGGGTGGACAAGTGTTGGGCCGATTGGGGAACCTACATGTGTTTGGGTCCAGCCTGGGGTCTAGTTCTTCTGGTTCGGTTCATTGAATGATCCCTCTTGAACGTCGTTTGGCTGTTATCAATCAGCGAGCCGCTCGATCATCCAATCCACCACGAGCGACCTAGGTTCATAGCCGTTGTAACGCTCCATTGCGAGTGGTAAAGCGGTTTCAGTGTGAGATTCCGACCAACATTCGTGAGGATTGTTTTTCAACTCTCCCCAGGTTTCCACCATAAAGACCATTCGAGCAGGTGATAATAGCCCATTCAGCGAAACGGAGCTTATAAATTATCAGTACGATAATGATCTTGAATTACTCTACTGGTGGCCACTTCACGAACACTGACTATCGTTCTCATGTGTCCGCACCACATGAGCATCCATAACTTATATGTTGTTTACGGCCGCTGAATGGAAGTCAGATTATCTTGATGTCCACATCCAACATGCATAACCGTACATCTGTGTCTGAGTAAGGTAATGCACCGTAGTGCAATTTTACCCATGTCCGAGCTACAGCAGATTGAGACTTATTTGGCACACAGTGGCCCGCCTTCAGACCATATAAAAGAAATGAAATACAACCGAAAACCTACCTACAGAACTGTTACCGTACATTCTGTTATGCTGTCCCCGCTCATGCAGTCATAGCGGTGGGGAATTTGGAACAATAAGACCGGGAAGGGGTAGTTTGATAGAATATGCGCTGTAGACCAGTGCAATAAATCAAGGGTGTCAATTGAACGGTTGGCAGCAACCACTGTTTTGGATCGCAGTTGTATATTGGTAGAACGAGGAGAGATAATAAGACTGTCCGAAAACCCTCAGTGCAAAAATTGACGCCGGCTACGGCCATCTAGACGTGTATCTCAACAGTGATCAGCTATCGGTACCACTTAAACGGCCCACCTAAACACTATCTACCTCTCCAGCTGAGACCAGCTGTGGTTTATTGCTGACTCGAGGTGGAAACTGAGTGGCTCCAACCACAGGGTACGGTGAGTGAGCGTGTGCGCAACAGGATTTCAAGAGAAATTACGACTTGATGCCAGTATGGACGTATGGATACATGTATGCTACCCGATTGGTGTAACGTCTACCCATGTAGACTTAAGCGCCACACAGTATATTTGGCGATTGTGATTGAGGGTTACAGTTCCCAATAACTTGTGAAAAAATCCACATTCCAGTCACATGTGAAGCAGCGGGGACTATAAAAAAGAAACTTCGAGGATGACACATTTTTCAAACTAATCATCTTTTTCCAGGCGATGATCAGGTTTCTGGTAAGGGGTTCGGAGACGTGTTACACAAAAGCTTCAGAATGTGATAGTGTGGATGCCTTAAGTGACCGCAAATTTATAGAGGATTAACCAATGTGTATATCAGACACCTATCTTTCACCACAATGTTGGAAGCCTACCGTGAAACAAGCAGAAGGGGGCCAAACACAATCATCATGACGACGAACATACGCAGCAACAACCGTAAGCACCGATCCTACACCCTTGTTAAACTATTGGTTGAGTAAATGTTGAGGGAATGTTTGTAACCGCATCCAACAGCGACCCCACATGCAGGAGCAATATCAGTGAGTACATCAATGACTTGCAAATAAATCTGTAAAATGAGAGAAACTATCGGCAGCCAATGCTGAACGCATCCCGCCCCACTCTAAGTCCAATATGAATGAAGGAGGGTTCTGTTCAACGAGTCACAATTGCCATAAGAAAACGAAAACTGTGTATGTACGTTTCCCTCGAAGGTGGTTTCGGGGAGCTGGCCGCATGGATCAACTGAAATAATCTTCGGGCATTATCGGCTCTCTGGGCCTCTTCCATTTCCTTGACTTTCTGTGTCCACCACACTTCACGGACGGCTCGCACGCTCACTCTCACTTTACGTCGCGTCAAGTCATGCTCCGGACCGGCGGAAATATTTCTCCGAAATTTAAGCAGTGCCACTGTTCGGTCTTATATCCAGTGTTTGAGTGAGCCCGGTAGCGCCATGCCACAGGCAAAACTCCCGGTACTGCAAGTAGGTAGCGATTTCGTCCCAGTGTGAATTCACATCTGATGGTGGAGCATTTGCACAAGACTCTACAAGACAATTCTGGTTAACTCGTCTGACATCCGGATATGCCAGCCTCTCAGTTGCCAGATTTTCCCGTACCTTGGGCGACCCTGGAAAACGAACACAGAAGCGACTGCGGACGAGTGTATGGTCGGAATTTACAAGTGTTTCAAAACGAGCGGCAGCCAATTATTAACTCGCCATTGGTAATTGATTGCAATGTGGTCCATGAGTTCGCAGCTCACAGGCCGTCGGAGGACATCTATGGCCAAACGACTTCAGTACTACCTAAAAACAGCACGCTGACAGGACACAGCTGAAGCAGTCGTTCACTCGTCCCGAGTCCAATCAATGTCGACCACCCAATTCAGCCTCAGAGGCCATAAGCCTGCCTACTTGGAAATGCAGATCTCTGGCGACCAGAACGATTTCTGAACTTTTAGCTCGCCGCAACAGGGTATTCAGGGCGTCATTAAACTTTGGGTAGCGTGTACAATATTGGGCAGGTCCAACTATGCACCTCTGCCTAACATGCAATCACATAACACCCTTATCAGTACCAACCAAAACTACATATACCTCGAGGTTTCGCTTCCATGTTGTTGGCTGTATGTGAACCGGGATATTACCAGAACAGAAAAAACGAAAAGCCCTCAACCAAAACCTTTGGTTCAAAAGTATGACCACGAGGCAGCGGCAAATGGATTGAGACTACTCAAGTTGAGCAAATAATTAGGAAATAAATTGCCAAACCCCAACCTGGAGGACCAAAAGAATGTTTGTCAAACCTCTAATTATTGATTGGGCCGACAGGATTCCCCATAAATACTACACTAGTATTCCCCAGTTAACTACAACGGGTTACTCAGGTAGGCAAATCGTTGCGGCACGAAAAGATGTAGTTCCTTCGCGACGGGGTGAAGAGGTGCGATTTTACAGATGACTTTTCCAACGCGTTTCTATCCTGACGGAGTTAGAATCGCCTGGAAAATGCTGGTCGCCCAGGGGAACTGTTTAGTGTTATCACGGCTATCTCGCAGCAAAATGACCGTTTCGTTATATGAATTCCCATAGCACGGGGAGTCACTGTTCATCGTCGGACAGCTCTGCATTGTTCTTTCCGGAAAGTTCGAACTTTAAGCTACTGAGTCACAGTCAGTTTAACCGGAGAATGCTTGAATAACGAGCTTCCTACATTCGAACATACCTTTACCTTACGATCCCGCAGTTCCGTTTCAGGTCAACTGCGACTCGTTTTTGAAGAATGAACATTTAGCATGCGAGTATGTTCTGTGAGTTCCCAAACGAGTTAAAAACAGGCCTCAAAACCGGCCAGCAAAGTGGCACCGTGTAAGCGACCTTATGCAAGCTGCTCACGAGCTGGGGCCTGGTGAATTGAAATAATCCTTCTGTCTATTTGTTACTTTGGTAATTCCTCTAACATATGGAGGTGAGGTAAAAACTATACACAGCATCACACTGAGCCTAAAAACCGTAGCCCACAAGACCACCAAGGGTGACCAAGACAACTCACCTTCCTCTTCGTGGGCACTGGATTCCACTAAGTAACAACGTAACCAAACAGGTTTCTGAGGGAAGAAACACGCGCATCCGACTTGCATGAACGACGAACTCTACAACCGCGTTGAAACGGGGAGTTCGTTTGAGGAATGGAAGAAACTGTCGCGATTTCGCTAAGTTGCCTGGAATACAACATGGAGTAAAACGCAAGAGGGAACCAGAAACTAAACCATTCAAGATATGGGAAGCAAGGCCCCAAAAAAAGAAAGCATCCTAAAAATTCATATTGAACCTCAAATATTCATATTTCGATCAGGTTTCCTAACCGTTCAGCCAAACACAGATGGTCAGAATACCCTCAAATTATCTTCGTTCAAGTTAAGAACTCGACTGATGTCAAAATGGCAGGACAGATAGACCGAAGCTCAGATACATCTGATGACATGTACTACAATAATTAAACATAAATATCAATTTATGTTCACCCTGCCTGTGGTAGAATGTGGCAAAAGCGTCCGAATTCTCGATTCAAGTAGTCGACTGCATCTGGTCTGTCTAAAGCGTTTAACAAACGGAGAAACCAAGAACGGTATGACTGTGACTGCTATGTGACGTGATGTAATCTGTATGGTTCAAAAGTGCTGATCTGTACAAACAGTACCATCCAACTCACAATGCAGCAGTTATTCTTTGACAAAAATCCAGTTAAGGACGTCAGTGGAATAGTTAGGATGCCTGTTTTGAGTCATCATGTTAGGAGAACCGGACCATGCGGTTACGGTAAGTGCCCACTTCAGTGGACAACTCGACTACCAGCTGAACAATATGAACTAGCAACACTACTATAACTTAGCATGCAACAAAGCCAGGACACTAACAAACTGCCTTTGAAAATAAGGATGATAAGTTTCTAAGAAGACCACATAAGGGGCAAATTGTGTGTGGAAAAGCAGCTTCCAAATATGCTATTTTCAGATCAAACAAATCAGTAAGTCTCTACCAGCTAGGGTCAGCCTCTGACCCAAAATCACTCTCTACAAGTGTTCTTCAATTTAAGGAACATGGCAAGTCAACGGTAGGCAGAAAACGATGAAAGAGGGGTACGGTGTGTCAGGCCCTGAATGTGGCGAAATGTTCGAGAAGCGTCACTCATAAAGAAAAACATGCTTTATAATAGTAAGGATTACCTGTGAGGTCCGCGACGCGATGAACAGGAGGATCACTTTTGCTATGCAAACCCAGTCCCTTTGTCTGCGCCTGCTCTTCTGCATTCAGTAGGTCCGAGTAAGCCGAACTACGGGCGTCATTAGCATTGCGATACCGAATCACGGTAGCCAGACCTTTAGAGACCAAAGACTCGGAAATGTTGGTGCTTCCGCATCGGACTGTGCAGCACACCCGTTCATCAACTGTGGTCGCCGTTTTAGGCTGTATGTAGTCTACCTGAGCAGTTACCTGGATCACGAGAAATAAGGAAAAATAAGCGTCCCATGATATTTACCATCATTATCACCATCGTCATAGTTAACGTCGATAACGATGTAGTGCGCTTGTGCTAGGGTGTTATACAGTAATGTCAGTTGAATAATCGAAGTTTTGCTAGTCATGGACGTCAGTGGACTGGGATACTGCCAGGGCACACAGGAGGCTGATTAGGGACCTCAGGATAGATGGCCTAAATCCAATATCTCAACGAAACTCGTAGGGATGAGTCGATACCGCATTCATGAACGACTGAGAAGCGAAGACGGACAAGCCCCGAAACCAAGAGAAAAACGGGAACGAACAGAGTTAGACTCAGAAAAAGGTGGTGGTGCAACTTACTTCTCCGTATAATATGGTATATCAAAAGGCATTGTAGCTTCAGGCTGGCCGTTAAGGAGAGAAACGAAAACTATTAAAACTGCATTTATGGGGTCCACCAGGTCGTCCTAAAATCTTCGTGAGGTGACGAGAAGTGCCGCGTTATAATGCTCAATCTTGATTGGCTGCAATTCTGACCTAATCACAGCCTGCCATTGTTTGGTACGTAGCACGCACAAAACAAATCCAAGCAACTTGATGTTCGGTTATTAAGAGCAGCTGGCATCCGGACAGTGACCTAAAATTAACCAGGAGCATCTAACAAGCAGGGTTCATAAAGACCTACGATCCGTTTGCGATCAGCATGAATCCAACTAGCTGTCATTAATAAAACAAGTTCATGTCTAAAACGAATGGGATCTAAGGTTCATTAAGGTTACATATTCCGTTTAAATTTCACGCGAATATTGGCTTTGTTGGCAAATGCTCATTCATCCATAGTAATGTGCAGCGATGGCGTACGTTGTCATACAACCATGAAGCGGGAAAGATGTTTAGCTATGGCTCCATCTTCGGGTGCAGTTCAGTTTTTAGGCTAAAAAAATACGTGCCGAAGTACCACAAGCGCTTCGTCTACTGAGGCTGAGGAGAATAGGAAACAAGGGCAACCCATCGCACGACATAGCCTAATCAGCTCATTATCGTCCTGTAAGCCAGGCGGTGAAGGCAACAACTCTGATGCCATACCGCCAATAGCTGCGTGGTACGGTCACATGTCCAGGTCACTATCAACAAGTTTGTCTCAGGAAGGTAGCAGTTGCCAACGAAAGTGAGTTGACTGGTTAGCGACTTCACGCAACGTTGGCAAGCTATTGACTGACCGCCCATGGCTCGTCTCTACCTGATACAAGGCTAGGCAAAGACGGGTATACCTGTCATAAGGTCCTCTGGCACAGGAAGCACATGACCGACGTAACCTCTTAAATGTGACCAGAAAAAAATGTATCCAGAGAATGACATTCCCCCAAAAACTATCTGGTGTACCTTCACATAAATGTTCGCATCAGACCCACGTAATGCTTCAGAGGCACCGATGGCCAAACACATCGACTTCGAAGATTTGCACACAAAGGCCATGTCTCTAATCAATAAAGTAGGACATATCGGATCGCGGCATTGTACACGTTACCCTTGACAGTCATGCTGTTGTCGTTGGTGTCACGAGCATTGTGGGTTGGCATTCTCGGTCCTGGCCTTAATAATTTGAAAAGTGATTCCGTCTTCCATCGGTCCACCGAGAATTATGCGGATATCCAGACGGACAAACTTATCACCAACATCCAATCGTTCACCTGCGAGCATGAGCTTTGGATTGGATTTCACCCAATTTTGCTAGAGATACGATGTGCCTACCGAACTATGCAGTGGAACTACCTAGGTTATCTAAAACAATTTGCATTTATAAACAGTCTGATTCGAGAACAACAGTATCATCAGCGTACTCACTGCCCGGTATCAGAGGCAGATAGCGAAAACCTGAGCAGAACATCAATTACCAAGTTGAAGAGAAATGGCGACAGAGTATATTCAAGTCTAACACCGTTAGCTGTAGTGAATTCAGAAGAGAATTCGCCACGGACAGGTACGCGTAATTGGGAGGGGTAGCACAGAGCCTTCATAAGCGACAAGTTAGGAGGGTTACCCTCCGTCTCCAAACGCCGTTACAGTTTCTGACGATCAGCGGAGTCAAAAGCACATTTGAGATCGAGAAAAACTTTCATTACTGTGCGTCAGGAGTGATGCAATTCCAATAATTGCCACAAAGTGAAGATTTCATCGGTGCCACCTAGGCAAGGGCTAAACCGTTTGATTCTCACGAATGAAACACTCACGATGACGGATACCGTTGGAGAGCATCTTAAAAGTTATGACCACTGAAGTGGTGTCTCGATCGTTTCCATACGTTCTTGCATCTCATTACAAGACAGTAATCACCGTCAGGGCACTTCATGCCATCGGTATCTTTTCTTCATTCCAGATATTTTGGAGGAAAGCCATCAAGTTGACGGTGAGGGAATCGCCAGACGCTTGATTACGCTGAAATAATGAAGCTGTATATCTACGGTTGGTGTCGATTTTCCACTCAACTCATATGGTCCTTCCAAAAAGTGAGTTAACGGGGGACAGCTAATATGTCCTACAAAGGGTTTGACCATCATTAAAGACAGCGATTAAGCGAATGAACTCGGGTTTCATCATTTCAAGGGCGAGGTGGCTCAAGTGGTTAGAGCGTGAATTTACTGACCGAAAGTTCTGCGGTTCGAACCCGACCTCCTCTGTCTCTCGACTTCCCCTGTCTAGGCTTGAACAATCTGGCAGTATCCCAACCCTCGTGCTTTCCTCTGGTGGCACGGTAGCTAGGCGCCGAATGGGTGTTACATCTGAACGACATTTTTTCACTAGCGTCAGCCAGCTTCAAGTTGACCGAATTAGCTGATGGGCCTGTTTCAGAAGGTGCAAGCATGGCTTCTTTTATTTCCCCATTGAGATTTTACCCTGTAAGTCAAACCAATCTATGCTGAAAAGCTGAAGAACACTGCACGGATCTTTCATCCTCAGTAGTGTCCCTCATATGAAACTCCAAGGGGTTTCGAACAGGCTACTTGTCGGCTATCAATGTGAACTCACCCCTTCGGCTATGAGCGTTTGATCAGCAGTGTGATCTCTCTGCTTTCGCCACTCAGTATTGAGCATGGAAAATAGCACTCTCCGACACGATGGTTCGGCATACGTAATACATTACCTAAGCAACGCAGCTTCTGGCGCTGGGCACATCCTTCCATTAAAGTCCCTTTGCACAAGCGAACACTCGAGTTATAATTGTCTCGTTAAGGATTTGCCTACGCCAACCTATAAGTGCAATGGTACCGAGACAACGATTGAAGTACACCTCAAGACGTCTTTGTTCTGTTGCTTCAACAGGCAAAGTCTCACGGCCACATGAAACAGCCCATACTGCAGCATGATACACGTTCAGGGATGTACTACTTTGACACCAGTGTCGCAAATTAGCAATCGCGACCCGAGCCTCGTGGATTCATGCATCGACCTTGTCTGTCAAGCTAAAATCGGAACTTGCAAGGAACGACTTCGACTGCCTCTCGCAGATGTGTCCAGTGACCGCATAAGATAGTAAAAGTAGTCGTTCAGGTGGAGCACATTTTCGGTGTCTAGCTGTCAGGTTGCATAAGCCTGGACAGGATAAGTCAAGGTAGAAAGGCCGGTTTCAAACCACAGACCTTATCAGTAAACTTGCACCCTAACCACTGTGCACACCAAGGAACTTTGGTCATAAGCACCTGCGCCTTCTCTTCGAAGACGATAACCGTATCGCCTGCACATTCCAGATCGACGATGTTTTTGTTATAGGCTATTTAAACACCGGGGTTTCAAAGACCTTCCGGTATTCGTCTTGTTATCTCGTAGACCACGAAAATACGGATGAGGGTGGGCACCTCGGATGGACACCGACTTGTGTACGGAAACTTTTGGAGAGCTCTCCATATACTCTCACAATACTCTTATACAAATGACTTATTATGTTCACAAATATCCAGGAAATTCTTCAAAGGACAGATGTGTCAAGAGCGGACCGGTCAACTGAGTCGAATGCGCCCTGGAAATCCGGGGTGGTTTGTACGTATAGCGTTGTTCTAGCATGACGGTGTGAAGATTTCATCAACTGCCGGGCGGAACCGCTTGCGGCTCTCGAGTTTCACGAACATACTTAACGCAAGCAGTCTTGTTACAACTGGGGTTAAGCTGATCTCCTGTGATTACAATCAATACGAGCTTTTTTTTTTGAAAACGGACACTATCACTGACTCCGCCCAGTTGTTTGGGACAGATCTTGTTCCCAAATGCAGGCAAACAGATCAGCCAAGCACCGACTGAGGACTTCACCGTCACCTCTGAACAATGCGGGTGGGTGATCAATTGGACCAGAGGCTCAGTGGCGCTTGAGGAAACATATGTAGTCATAAACCTCCAAGGCCTTAGGGACCTACACGTTCACCGTGAAGGGTTCTATGTCAATTGTGGGTGCCGGATGAGTGGTAGCTGGTGGCCACGATAGCTGTTGTTCGGAGCCTACAGGTCAGAGGCTCGTAGTGAGTCTTCCATAATCGTATAAATGGCGAAGTTGAAGATAGGTGAAAGAGGACAGCTCTGTCTGATACCAATTGATGTGAACTCAGGCAAGAGCTTACCGTAGGCTTCCACGCGTCCACAGGAGTTCGCGTACAGCACCTGATGGAGGGTGAAGAATCTATGAGCGACACCTTTGTTGCATAGACACTGCCACAGTGCCTGACGGTCCAGGCAGCTTTCAAGTCAAGGAAGGCAATCATTGTTGGGCGCAAGGTGTCGATGTTCCAGAACCTGTCGGAGGGTAAAAATATGATCAATGCATCTTCTTGCATTGACCATTGCAAGACGGAATCCAGCTCGGTTTTCACGAGTCTCTCTCTTCCTGTGCTCAGTCAACTTTCGAAGTATAAGACCACAGAGCAGCTTCGATGTCACAGCTACCACGCTGATGCCACGGTAGTTTCAACACCGCGTTCGCGTACCCCATTTGAAAGGAATAATTGTCGACATGCACCATTCTTCAGACACATCTTCCCTCCAAATAGCACTAATTTTGTTAGATGCGTCACCAGGAAATATCCGCCTTCTTTGAACAGGGCTAGATACAGACCGTCCGGTTTGGGTGCCTTCTCACTTTTTCGTATGGATAGTTCGTGCTTTATTTTTTCTATATCCCACTCACCCGTGTCGCAGGAGGCCAGCTAAACTGTTCTTCGAAATGTGGCTCATCATCCTAGTTGATGTTTTTACGAGTGAAGTAATGAGCCGCCCTTTTCAGTAATCGTTGTACTGACCGCCTTCCTAGGGTTGTCTAGTTGATTTAGGGCACGCTACTGCCTTCACATTTCTACCGCAGATGACTTTACCCCTAGGTCGCCAAGTGGCACGATTACCTCCACCGGCAGTGATTATCAATCCGCACAATCGGTAAGTGATGGCAATGTGATAAACTTTAGTTGCTAAGTGGCATGCTGTTGGAGGACGTTGTGGCCAGAAGACCTCAGTTATTTCGGAACTTAATACTGCATAAAATAGTCTGCGGTCAGCACAACCGAGGCTGTTGTTGGCTACTGTTCATACGTACGGAGTCCAATCCATGTCGGCCACCTGACTGATTCCAGTATGTGCTAAGCCCGCCACTTGTGCAGTCAGATCTCCATCATCTACAGGCCATGAAACTTGTATTTGATGGTTGGGGCACAAGCAAACGTGGCAGACAGCGATCTACTAGCCGCTTGTGAGACGAGCTTCTCCTCAAACGAAACTGCTTACTGCTGTACAACCAAAGTCGACGTAGCATGGGACAATTTGTCGATGTGTAAAATTCGTGGTCGTACGTCGGCTGGGATACTGCCAAGGAACCCACGTCGAGAAAGGACGACTATGATCCTTGACCTAAGCCGTTGCCTCAAAAGCCTGACCGCACGACAGCGGTTTGTCAGAAAGTGCAATTAAGCTATAGTTTTCATAGAACAAGTCATCACGCGTGTTCGAACCTCCAACCTGGACGCCCAGAGGTCCGTGCTGGTCAGAGCTCTAACCGTTGACCAACCCGGCATGAAAGACAGTGAGTGTCGCACGGACACCACCCAGAACATCTCAATGGGTTGCTGAGCCACACAAACCGTCACACTGCGATACGGTCGTCTCCTCTTGGGATTCCCCCGAAAAGTTATCCGTGGACCACCCGAAAAAACACGTAGTAGAAAACTTTTGGTTAAGAAGTTATTGAAGGCAACAGAATGTGATTCCCTTAATATTCTCATCACTAAAAATCAGCAGAGATAAAGCAACGTGTTAGCAAAGAACCGATCATTGCATTGTCGAATTTCATATTGGTGTTTCATGGAAAACGGCCGAGAATAATGAAGACACGACAATCACTTACCGATTTACCGACAAATGCCCTGAGTTGTTCACGTGCTTCGAACATATAGGGGACGTCATAAAGAGGGCGATACCGAGTACGTTGAGCCGTCGAAGATTCCTCTTCGTCCTTAGACGGAACGGACGGCCTAGGTAGTCGAATGCTGGACAGAAAGAACCTGCGCACTATGCCGTCGGAACACTTGATAGATATGTTGTCACCGTTGCCCACTTCAACAACCTGGCAAGTAAGGATTTCACCTTTTGTAAATACATCGTAAGTTTCAAAGTAAATAATGAGACATCATGAAGCTTTTATCGAATGACTTGCACAGTTGAAAAGTTACCGTGAGTTAACCTCTTGACTGATGAGGGGAGAAATAATAAACCAGACGATGGTATAGACCAAGATGATCATGCCTGAGGCCTCGCAGCGCATTGACAAAAACGTATGAAAAGTGCCCTCTGAAAACATGGTCCGTGCCGAAGTATCCGAGAATAGAAAAAAATTTCAGTGATTAGGCATAAGCGGGCAAATAGCTTGCTAGCGGCTTAGTTGACATAACTGGTACCTAACCGTAACGACTTGAGATAATGTGCATTTTACACGCGAGCGGATTGGTTACAGACTGTTAGGCAGCGACGGGTCTCAGTCGAAATCCGCACCAGCCTTGGACAAATCTGGGCGTGCAGCGAGGCGACTGACAAGACCGAAAAATCTTCAGCCTCAGAGAAAATCATTTGAACAGGGACTTTCCGAATGTATTTGACCTGTGCTGTAGTGGGAGCTAAGCAAGCCTGATGACAAGACGAGTGACTTTAAACCACCAAACGGAAGCCACCCGTAAATCACCACATATATCAGAACTGGTACCACTGCGCCATTCGGTGGATCCCGTCGATGGCTTGTTCTAGAACGTTGCTCGATAGCAGACTCCCGACCATAGCAAAACCGAGCTCACTGAGGGATTCACAGATCTTCACACCTCTGTTCACCTCGTGTGCGACCCTTGATTACGACTGTCTCACCTTTTGTATATGTTGGATATCTGATACGGAGTGTTCAGTGTGATGTCTGTACCTCTCTCTCTCTCTCTCTCTGGAGGTGGAGACTGAGTCGCAACGGTGTTCACGAATCAATATTAAACGCATGGCACAAGGAACTATGAGCTGCCACAGGCGGTTTGAACCGCAGTTTCGAGACTTAACTTTATCCACCCAATAAGTGAATGACTGGGATAGCCTGTCGGAGACCGTGACGAACACAAGGGGTGAATGAATGCTTCAGACGGGTGATAAGCAATCACCACCATCATCAGCATTGATTGATGCTTCATTGCCTTGTCTAGTACTAGTATAACAAAAGGAGTTCGGAATGTTTACACATCCAAGCGCCCAATAAATCTGGAAAGCAATGACAGCAAGTCATCGATCAGCCGTCATTTCTTGCAATGTCTCCACCCGAGCCACGAGAATTCTATCCTGGAAGATGGACCAAACAAACACCCAAACTAGTTGTATTATTTCACACCTTTCCGCTAAGTCGTAATTTATCCCCCTCACGATATGCGCCATTCTGGAGACCGACAACAATACTCCCCTCATTAAGCAGTGTTCTGGCATTCACAGAACATGGCCGAGCCACCGTAGTTGACACCGATGGATGTCTTCCGTCAATGAATTACCCACCGTACAAACCAAATGCTCATTTTCAAATGACACCGTTACGAATCCGTTGACGACATCCAACACCAGCGACACTTCTGAGACATCGGCCCGGAACGCAACGCCCCACACCAACTGCCTACAGAGGCCATGTTTCGCAACCATGCTACGACAGAACCCTTCTTTAGGCTGGTACACGCGATACTTGATACCCAGGGACAAGTCTTTCTGACGCCACAGGTGACGCAAATTAGCAAACGTGATTTGGGTCGCCGAGATTCGGGCACTGATTTCATCAGAAACACTTCCGTGAGAGCTAATACAACTGCTGAGGTACGTGAAATTCTCCAAAATTTCCAGTGTTTTTCCTTGAATTGTAAGCAGCATGTTCAATCGCTGTACATTCTAAAGCGTGACTTCGCATTATAAAAAAACTGTTCAGCTGTAGCACCCTTTCGGCGCTTAGCTGTTATGCCACCCAAAGGAAGCACGAGGGATGGGATACTGCCAGGTCGCCCAAGCCTAGCCGGGTCCAACTGAGGGGCAGAGGCCGGGTTCGAACCACGGATCTCCTGGCCAGTATATTAGCGCTCTAACCGCTGAGCCATCTCACCCCCATTACCCCCATTACGGCACGCGAAAGATGATATGATGTTGGTCGGTTTGTTCGATGGGGCTTTTGCTTCGCCGTCATTTTCGAAGTTACCGATGTCCTCTGTGTACTACAGATGGACAAGGTTCCCATCAGCATTGATCTGAACACCAGGGTTTTGAAGACCGTTAAGAGTTTGCCTCAGGATTTAATAAACGACGAGGCTGCAAAAGAACGAAGTGAACACACGTGCCAGACATTTTGTAGGAAAGCCTCTAGAGAACGATAGGAACATGCTGTTTCTCGATCCCTAGTTGAATTGTTTGCAACAGATGTCGTACTCGCAATGAACAGGTTGACAAGGGACCTCTGTCCAGTGGACATGAGACAAATACGGTAAACCGAACGGTTCCTAAGACACTAATTTTATTGATGGCGACTAAAATAAGTGCTTATGGATAAATACCTTACGCAAACGATTTAATTTACAAGCGCAGTACATAAAAACCACGATGCCGAAGACTACGTAAAACTTACATTTCCAACAAATGTCGTTCCTGGAGCTAAGCGATTAGGATCACGAACCTCAGGAGTTTCCATCTGAACCATAGGTGGTTGATAGTCTCTCCACAAACGAAGGCGTTTTTCCTTCGCCATCCTCTCAGCTGCTCGATAGACATCCGAAGCACCGGGGACACTGACTAAATTAAGATTCCACTCAACACATTTGGCGAGACCCTCTCGCACTAAGACCTCCGCGATATTGCCATTGGGGTGTAGAACGCTTCCAATAAACGTCTGATTGTTGCATGATTCAAAAAGAATAACGACTTCTCGTTGCAACAACCGCGATTCCACGAAGAACTGGGCATCGAGACCAAACGGCTCAGCTACCTTGAAAGAATCATTGGGAATATTTCCGTCTAACTCACCTGCTTGCCATCCTCAAACCGGATAGTCGGAGCCTTTATCCCAGAGAGCGATAGCATTACATTATAATACAAATGTGGTGGAGTAGATGGACCCGGCAACAGCGTGACTTGCAGTGAACTTCCATCCCTAACGTATTCAACAACTCCCGGAATTCGTTGTCCCTTGTGTGCATCGATGAATGCTCTAGGATCTTCGATGTTCCATATAACTTCGCGAACGGCTCCAGTGGGCTCCGGTGACCACTTGCCTCTACCAGTAGACTTGGCTGCCTCCTCTGCCGCCAAAAGCTCCTGGTACTGCGGATTCTTCTCCGCAAGTGCTGCGTTGAGTCTGCGGACTTCGGCGAGACCTGCCTCGACCAGGGAACGTGCAATATTTTCACCAGCAGTTGATTTACCTTAATAAGGTTACAAGAGAATGAGCTGCGAACCAACCTAAGTAGACACAACCATACTTTCGTCCAGTGGGGAGCTCCGTATCCACAGTGTAACAAACCTCTTTGCCAACGAGTCTCGACCGCACGAACTCGCGCGCCTGCCAGGCAAAAGGGTCCTCAATTCCGCCGGATGGATTATTGGGAGTAGGTCTACGAGCGACACGACCGCAAGAAATATTTGAGAGGACAATAGTTCTCTCTGGCGGAGGGCCATCGACAGGTCGATCACGGATAACGATGCTGTCACCCGAAAGAACCTACAAACACACACACTTCAGACACAAGATCGTACGCCCAGGTGCGTGAACCATGCTCACCTTGATAGGAGTGGTTCCACTTACCTGTTTTACAACACCTGAAAACAACGCAGGGGCAATCATTCCACACACGTGGCAAGAGATCAGCCGAATAAGGCGCCCGCTTATTAAAACAATAATGGCGGGCTCTTGAATTCAGTCGAAATCGCTCTCCATTGCTCAGGAGTCCTGCTCGGTTTATGGCGTTCCCATCGATTCAGAAAAGATATGTGCTCTTAAGGAGCGGAGCATCAAGTCAATAGTAAAACAAAAAGTTGGTATTGAGGCGGCCTCGGATCGCCATTTACCAACGCTGGAAACTTCAGTGGAAGGTTGCAGTTCAGGAGTTCCGAGCGAAACTGGGTAAGGCGAGTAGCGTCAGTTGGGTCTACTGCATGTGTATGTTATACCGATTACTGTAGGAATCCTGAAAAAGACTTTCTGCGGCAACCGAAACGTTGGATTATAACATCCTACGCTACCACCCTGTTCTGGCTTGGGGGTAAGCGGTGCAGTAAATGATAGGTTGTTTAAACCATTGTTTGAAGGGCTCGTTTTCTGCGTTAAATAGGTCAAACAGCTTATTTGCTGTCCATTCACTGAGGGCGTTCATACCCTATCATAGTATCCTTCTGTCATCGGGTCGGCGAATCAGGCACCAGCTTTTTAAACCACCAGCATTGGCCGACAAGATTCCTGTATGTGGGGCCGGCGTTGGTTAATGAAGAGTACTGCATACAAAAGTTGCTACGCGCCCGCATGAAGCGTCTCGTAATATATAGCTCACTGTTTTCTGGTCTGGTGTATAATTGGTGAGTTTAAAAATTACTGGTTCCGTTGAAAAATACTGCAATTTGTGGACCCGAGATCACAACTTTTTAGCGGATATGGCCAGCCGCGCCACTACAGATGAAACGACACCCCAACACCTGCAGGACCGGTGCAGGAAAACTGTCGCCAAACTTCCCGGGACTATCTGAGCATAAGTTGTTTCTCCTCGCCGGTAGGAGTGAGTGCCTTCCAGACTTGTGTTTCGAGATTTGGTGCTGATGTACCTAACCACAGGCTTGATGCAACCCTTCGTCTCGCTGAACATCGCGATTCTCGGGGCCTCGAAGCCAAAAATATCTGGCAAAGTGCCTGATAGCATATCGGCACCCGTTCCGTACTAACTTTATGCGCGCAGGTATACCATTCGTTGGAGTGTGTGGAAAGTTCTTCGCCGTAAAATGTTCATGGTCGGTAAAAAAGCTGAGCATCTCGTAGCTTCCAAATAAGCCCCCCACTTCAACTTCAGGAAAAATCAACCGTTTTACACCGTCCTGAAGACGTTCGGGTGTTTTGCTCTGCGATTGGTGGATTTCGGGGGCTTTGCGACGCACGATTTTGCATCGCTGGAGTATGTTGAACGTGTATAAACTGTGTAATGGGGTAAATGCTATCTTGTTGAGCGCGTCCAAAGGTTTTTCCAAATGAATATATGTGTATGTATGTGTGTATATATCCTTGAAGCTTGTTCTGTGTGATATTCAGCAAACCCTATATTGTCTGTCGCCGTATAACCACCCAGCATTGCTGCAGATCGGTTTTCCTATTATATGTTTATTCCTCGGGAAACCATTGATTTGTGTCGAGCGGAACAAACTGAGAAACAACAGTGAGAAAACTATGTTCAAGTTTCTGCAATCACACCCCCACACACACCTTCGTGCGGAACCAATACAGGCACGACTCGCATACTTTCTCCCCAAGTCTGAGAAGCTCTGGTTGTATAGAACTTCTGTGGCCCCTCCCTAACACGGGTAAGCTCCTGACGCTACACGAAGTTCAACCAGTCATTTGCACCCAGTGTTCCTTCCTATAAGCCGATCCCAACATCTTCATACCACTGCAATCAATTTTCTTCCTACGCTTTTTCACGGATTCACGCTTCTCGAAACGTCGTGACGGAATTCCGTCCCCGCAGCCTGATTGCAATGGGGCTGCGTTAGAAAGCATCTCGAAAGAGGCAACTGATATGGCCTCATTCCTCGTGTTCGAACGCTTATCCCCGCACACCTTCCCGCAGCCAAAGCGCTTTTCTCTACTGTGGTAATAAGGATGACTCATGGCATTATCTTAGTCTTTGTTACCTACACAAACAGTCCTACAAATATGGTGGGCGGGCCGGCCCGTCGGGACTGTTTGTGGCAAACCTTGATCCCCTGTATGCAGTTTCTGCATCGGCAGTGGGTAAGGAAATGTGCATTCATTCAAACAAAACTTAGATAGGCTTTTCTCAGACTATCTTTCTAAAAGAAGAAGCTCCGATCCATGTGATTCAAAGGGTCCGTAATCTTTGTAAAAGATAATTGTTATTGATATCCATTAGCCGGTTACATAAAGCGGATTTCATGCTCTGAAGTCCCTAAAAAGCAAATTGCTAAACATGTTTCAGTGTGTCATTTGAATCGGAACTTGCACGGAACCGGAATGTTTTAATTTAAGCCGCAGCGGTCTATATGACAACTGGATATTTTTGTCACATTAGTGTGAAGCCGCTGTGCCTGATTACCTTAGAACATGTGCCACACCCTCCACTTATTTCACAGGAGCAACAGGCCACTAGCAACAGTGTTCTGCCCCATCTAATTGTCGCAGAATTTTCTAATTTTTGCTTTCTTTTTATTGATGCATCGGTTAATTTACCAGACGCTAGGTACATGTAAGTAATCGGTTTATACCCTGACTGATGCGAGTATGAATCTTCTTGAATGCAGTCCTGCTCTAAAAATAAACAACATAAGCACAACAAGGCCAGTCGTTAGTTTCAAAGATCTCCAACAGCTTTTCACAAATGGCACACCAGGGGATAAAGCCAAACTGAGAAAATGAAGGATGGTTCACTCAGAATGAGTCAGCCAGTGAGTTATTGTGTCCTTGGGACAAGTAAGGGAATCGAGGTAGTCTAGCGAATCTGATAATGCTTGGGGAAATTTAACGGCGAAACACAAACTGGTAATGACTCATCCTATCAGTCTTCCAGAATAACGTTGCTCCAAGTGTGAACACCCGGCATGCTTGTAACGTTCTCCAAAGGAGAGTATTTGTAGCGGTCGCCCAAGATGATTAGCTCATACACGTCCACTATCTCCTCTGCGCCTTGTTTATGTTCCACATGTCACAACTTGTGTCACGAAACAACAACGTGACGTGAATCCGAACTTCGGTCATCAACGGGTTTGCGAGCTCGTTAAGGCCACATGTTTTCATATCGTTGTTTTTCACGGTCCACTCAACATATATCAGAACAAAACATGGCCAACCGACACAGTCGGGACAACACACGCAGTCGACACGCCCAACACAAAGATGGATGCTCGGCCGCCTTTCGGACGTCGTCCGGACAACGGCGCTCATCACCTCGCACAGCACCTTGACCTGAGTCACTAGAAACCAACGCATGACTCACTGTGCGAAAAAGTCTGGGCTAATGGATCTAATCACAAGAAGCATGCCGGACTTCAAAACGCTCAATCAAGACTTCAGCACGTTTGGCCAAGTCACCCTTCCAATACAGTTGCGTCCAGCAAACCTCGGCGTCGTCCAATACAACTTACCGCACGCAAAACTCGATAAGTCCCTTCTTTCTGTATGTAATCCGCTTGTAACACAGTGTCTCTCCTTGTCACTATAAGTACCTCCTTTACTATTGGTGTTATTCACCTTCTGACATAGCCCGTAGTAGAAACCATAGTTCTGGTATGATCAAAGCCGTTTGGGTTTGGTGCTCGTACAAATTTATCAAGGAATTCTGTAGCTGCTTAGTCAAGTTATGAAGTAAGTACGTGTAATTTATTTGCATTTTCTACTTCAATATAACCTGTAATGAAAGCTGCTGCAAAACTGCACTCCATCTCTGTGTAGCGCCCACTTATTCACAGGCATGAGCCAGATATCACCGTCTGCGATTCGCTAGGGCTATCGGTGGACCACAATAGATATGGACAAAATCAATGTCTGCCGAGTGTTAGACGTGGGGTGCAATGTAATGCTTGCTCGGCTTAGTGGCGTTTAAATGTATGGATTTATAATTTGACCAGGTGCACCGACCATCCACTTCCCCGGACCACTTTGATCGCGCACTCTGCCTCTACCTTGGGGATGCCTTGCATTCCACGAGCAGGGAGGCAGCCGTCAATGAAGGGACCAAGTCGCCACCTCTCAATCGGCAAGGTCAGTACAAATTTTTCATTTTATTGCATACACTCGAGGAGACACCGGTACTTTTTTCGAAGTCTCCAGAGGGTGCAAACAAATAGCCTAGCGGCCTGAACGAAAGTGGAGAACGAGCTTTGCCACCTGAACGAGTGCCTAGCCCTTACCATTTCGAGAATTTTTGCTGACAAGAAAGTGATCACACTCTCTGATTACGATGGTGTTTAATAATAATATTTACAATGGCTGTTCCCAATTTGTGGATGGCATGATCATACGTTAACAGTCAGAATGAAGCATGGTTGTATGGGTTTGCGGGAGGTGGCGGTTTCTCCAAAAGAGGACAATGTTACAGACTTGGGCAATATCGAATGAAATAGTAATAATATGTTTATTTCCCAAATTGCAGGGAGCTATTGGAATCAGATCCGACTTGTTCAAAGATGAAGATGGCTGATATGAACTTAGAGCCATTGCTGGCCATGAGTGACCTTGGACGGTTGGGTGAATGGCCATAGTCACAACGAGCAAAATGTGACCAAATCTGAAACTAAATAGACTCACTGGTTCCACTGTCGTAGGGAAGTTAGGTGCAAAGGGTAAGTTGTTTGGGGCGATAGTGCAGTACATAGGGTCAAAGAAACACCGTAACTGGAATTGAACTTGTGGAAGAGGCAAGTCGAAATTGCAGCAGAAAACCAGGTTGTTCAAATCCGAACGAAAGTTCTATCGGGTTAGAATGAACTCGTCTCAGAGGCGGTCGAGACCAGGCGAAATATTTGCCCGTATTTGCAATTACAGGCCTCAGTGAGTGAGAGGTTGTGGTCGAGATTGAGAAGAAAATAGTTGCGCGCCCGCCATCACACTGGGTATGACAGTGCCATACCATTATTGTACTTGATTGCCTACTTCGGTCT